GCTTAAATGCTAGCCCATGTATCAAGGAGCAATAAAATACATAGCAAAACCTAAATTTACATGAGTTAAGCGCTTTGTAATCATTTCTGAATACGAACCCTTATTTCTGTTTGTTGTATTAGGCTAGTTAACAATCAGATGTAGCCTCATTTTTTTGTTGCAAAATGATACTGTCCTCATCCTCTGCACAGAGTTTATGATTGAATGAGCAAACTAGTAACGTTTAATTCTTTTTTAGAGTTTCCGGTGTACTTACCGAAATATTTGGTATGTCTTCTGAAAAAAGTTTCATGCAGAACAACGCATTGATTGGAGCTTAAATTTCATATATTGTTTATGTTAACAAATAGTTCCATTTTGATTTAGAGTTAAAATAAATTAAACACGGATTAATAAGTGCACAACGATTTTCCAATCCAGAGCAGGATCTGTGACGACGCTGTGTCTTATGCTGGTATACCCTCAGGAACGGCCCAATTTGGTGTATAAGTCCTCCGGTTTAGATGAACTTTGCGAACTGTTTGAACCCGGTTCGTAGCGGATGCAATTTTTAGGGTTGAGGAATATATTTGAGAACCCCAAGTGGAAGAATGCAGTGGAAAAAAATCGAAGGCCATTATTAGGTTTACGGCCTGATTCACAGAACTATCTGCTTCAAGCTCATCAGGCATATGTAATGTCCCTCCTGTCATCACCGAGCCGGTGGAGAGAGTTTGAAACGCCTTGTGACAAGAACAATTTCTCATGCTCGTCATCCAAACGAGGGGGCTAATACACGTAGTTGTGCCCTTGCTGCAGGTTGTTTGCCACCATGAAGTGTAAGATCATCACGAATTTTGTTTGTGATTGGTAAGTGATCGAACGTTCGTCTTTATTTTATTTTAACTATGATCAAAATGGATTATTTATTTATTTCAATAAATTTTGCATGAAATTTGACTTCAAATCAGTGCCTCGTTCCGCTTGAAACTTCTTCGGAAGACATATTTTGAAGAATAAAGTTATCCAGGAGCAAAATCGATCACTTTGTCTTAGTTTTTGTCGGTATCCCAGCTAATTCTTTTAGACCTCAGCTTATTTCGCGGTCGCTACCTAATTTTTTATGTAGGTAATGACCAATCTGTATGCTTTTGCTGAAGTTTTTTGTTTTTTGTTAGTCAAAAATTGTGATGACTTGTTCTGTACTATGGCCGCGATGTTTGATGAAGGCAAGACGTTGCAGTAAGTTGTAGCTGTTTTTTTTATCCTCTTTATCGTGTGTTGAAAAAGTGACACTTATTTTGCTTTAAAGAACTTAGCCTTTACTTGAAAGTTTATTTTGTTTTCAGCTGTCTGGCTTCGGTATTCGATTGGGACCTAGAGGATGTGTCTAAGACAGTGACCTGTTCAGTACCAGACCGAGCCGCGTTCGTTGAACGTTCCCTGGCGAAATTGAAAATGTTGCAGAATGAAATCGATGCTGGAGCCCCGTCTGACGATTCGAAAGGTAATTCGAATTTCGCCACTGATCCGTCGCAGTGTAAAATTAACTAATATTCCATGATCAGTTGAATAATTTATGGATTTCATAGTTTCTATTTGCTTAAATATCCGAGAAGGAACATAGCAAAGATATGAGGTCTGAGATTCTAACAGCTGCAAACTTTCCTTCCCTTCTTGTTATTCTGGTATTCACCATCGAAGTGCTCGATGATGATTCCTTTCTATTTGCTTTTTGATATCGTCTGGATCTTTCATTCATTCTGCCCATGAATCGTCGTTTTCCGTCTTGGTGAAATTATTGCGACATAAATTCTTTGGGATTTATACGAACTGTGGTTCCTGATCTTGTTGTCCAGATTTTTAATCAATGTGTTTTTCGTAAACACGTGTACTGCTAACCTCAAACGCCATTTACCTTGTCCGGATACTGCTGACCGTTTCAGGGTTCATGACGAACCTTCACAGTTATCGTGTCAGATCAGAAATATATCCTCGTCACTACACATGCAGTCACTTAAACTACTCTAGACGGCAATTGCCAAGATTTTGAATCATTGTTCATATCAAAATGCAAAAGTCAGTATTTTCGAATTACTTTAAATTTTAGTCGTCTGGTTGCTACTGTTTATCGCAAATTTGAAGTAGGTCATAAATCGTGATTGTCTTCTGACTGAAAACAGTACAAAATGCGGTTTTTTATACATGAACTGAATACAGGTAACTGACTCTGATGGGTTGATGTGTAATGCTTCATGCCGCAAAATCCCGTAAGTCTATTGATGCAGCTCGAGGCACCTCAAAAGCACACCCCGTGATGGTCAGAGGGTACCGGCATCATCAGAGAAAGATCACTGATTGAACAGGCAAGTCAAAAACCGTTAATAACCCAGTCCTGTGACCACTTCAGCCGGGACAAATGATTCTAACTCTTTAAGACACTGGCCTAAAGATCGGTGCTGGTCAATCATCCGACTGTTGCTATCGTTAGCGTTCAGCATTAATAAACCGTGTTTCTGCCGCTTGCCATTATGACTTGCAGCCCAAGAACGAGGTACTCGATCGTAATTAGAATGCAGTCTGGCGAGATTGCCCTACTTTCGTATTTATGGTATCGTTAAACAAGTGCCATTGTAATCATATAGAAAGTCAGTGCCCTGAAAATTACATTCTGACCAGTGGCATATATTGACCATCACGGGATCGCTGCCAGCAATATGATACATATATCGCCGGCAGAACGTTAGCTTACTACTTCCGGTTAATGGGCGGCAACAAAACGGCTTTGATCACGCCAGCTCTAAATACGATTGAAGGTGCATGAGGTGAGTCCAACAATCCAGAATCCGTTTAAAAGCGGAATTCTGGCATTCGTTGTGAAAGTATAAATTAGACATGGGAGAGAATTGCTGAATGATTAAAAATCAATTCAAAGATTGTTTTTGTCTCATAAATTCGTTATGATGCAGATTACTGATTTTAAACACTCATTTGATCTTGAGACTTCTTTGGCGTGAACGGTAGAGATTACTGCGTTATAGTCAGAGCCATGGGAGCATGTTAACGTTGTCAATGACAATATTATAAAAATACCTTAGCATGGGCCTTCTTTGTTACCTAATTTCAATAATAATTTATTGTATAATCGTGATAAAACATAACTGTCTTAGCACACGTCATCGGTGTTATAACGTAAAACCTTGACATCGGTCTTAATGCTATTTCTGTGGCCATCGTAGCATGGATCGCTTTGATATGATGGCCTCTTGCTTCGGTGGTTTCTGATTTTAGTGACTTTTCACTGCTATTGTTTTATTAGTTTATTTTCAGATAGTTCTGTCGATTGTTCAAACAGCGATGAACGGAAGCAACAGATTTTAATACTTAAGACACTTGTTGAATATTTGAAGTGTCACTCGACCTCGTCGTTCAACTCGATGCCTCCAGATATTGTGAAGTTTCTGCCATACTTATGTTACTTCGAAAACGAGGCTACGGACACGGAGTTGAAGCAGAATTGTCATGCTGTGCTGATCTACGGCCTCGGTCGTTGTCTGCTCTCACCGACCAACATCGACCTGCTCTTGACCTACTGTTCCCAGGTAACATTACCAAAGGCCTGACGTTTCGTAGATTGGTTCTGTCGCTGTCGTCTTCGTGCAACATAGCACACGTTTTGTTTTTTTTGTTTATTAAATGTTTTGTTTTGATGTTCAGGTCGCGAAAAACAAGTGGTGGAAGGCGCGGGCGTCGCTGCTCTACTTCCTTCAAGTGATCGTCATATCAAATCTGTTCCATTTCTGTCACCCAACACATCAGAAGCGCGTTCAGGAGTTGGTATTTGACTTGTTGAAGGATTGCCAGATCGAAGTACGTGAAGTGGCTTCCACCGCGTTGTGCACGTTTTTTCTGTGCCGCTTCTTGGTGCCGACGCAGGATATCATGGTAAGTTTTCACTGTTCTCGTCTGTTAGTCTTTTTGTAACCACTTAAAACTGTACGGTTTGGCATTCCACAGGAAGCAGTTGAAACCGTCACTGATCATAAGTCTTCCGTCATGATGCGGAATTTTAAAACGCTTGGGGGGGGGTGCAACATCCACTTCCAAGCGACTAAAAGTCAAGAAAGCCATTACTTAGGATTCGAAACCGCATTCAAGGTCAAAGTTTTAAAGAAAAATCTGTCTCGAATTATTCTTAAGGGGATTGATGAATTAGTTTTGGACAATTTGTTAATTTCTCGTATTAGTGTTATTACGGTACTCCCAGTGTCATAGCTATGTTCAGTCAAATGCAGTGATACACCATGCTGTGAATTCACCATATTATGCGAGATTTGGTTCAGCTAGGTGTTATATTCGATTATCAAATCACAAATCTACAAAATGAACTGACCTTCAGCTGATTCAGTCTATCAGGTGGGAGAAAACGAATTGTACCCGTGAAGCGCTTGCACTGAACAGCATGACCGTGTATCTTTCGAGCTTTCTCGTGAACACACAACAACGCCATGATATCCCAGTTATTCGCAGGTCAGCTATTTGCTATGTATCTCTTGACTAATTAAATCAAGCCACAATATGTTTACGTGTTTGTTTATCTGCCTGTTTATTTATCCGTCCATTTATATGTTTAGCTATTGAAATTATACTAGAATGTACTGCATGTAGTTAAATGCCACCGGTCAGTGGCCTACTTAAATCGCTCTCTGCAACTAGGACCAATGGAATAACATAATAGGCAATCTGAAGTTTACAGATTAAATTAGGTAAACGCGTGCTAGCACGTTTTTATATATATGGTTGAGCCAGATGACCATTTATCTGTATCAGAAGAGGTTCTGTTTTGTATTCCCTTCTGTGAATGCAGGCGCTAAGGTGATCGGAGCCGTGTTTCATCATTCGCTGTACCTAGTTGTACTTGCTGTTTTTATATTTGAAAATTATGCGGTATGCGTAACTGCATTGAAAGTAACGAAACAACATGGATCACTAAACAGCTTAGGTGTCCAAGAAAGAAGCGACGTAATATATATTATCACAAGTGTTATGACATTTTATTTTTGGACACGTGTTGAAACTTTTTGCCCAATTTGACTCGAAAACCTAGAGCAACTTGTTAATGTTATAACTCTGTTGTTTAGTCCCGTTATGTTTATACATTTTTCATTTTATGTTGTAGTACGGAAATCAAGAACGGTGATGTTCTATTATCTGACTTCCTGTCATAGAATATTTACAACAATAACAATAATGAACCTAACCATTGATGGTGGGTTCGAACTGGAGAAATAAATTGAACATTTTGTTGCCCTCTTTGGGTTGTATTTATAATTACGATGATGACGATATGTGGTCATTGAGCCTTATGCATATTGTCTTACATTGGTGGCATCGTAAAATGGGCATAAGTGGAAGGTTTATAACTGATTAATATGACAAGAATGATCCTAAACATGTATGGGCTTTACGTCTGAGAGCAGATACGGGCAGATTATATGTCCTTCGTAAAATCGTTGAAAAGAGTTTTGTAATATTAGAGATATAATTGAATTTCAGATTGCTTGCTTAGAAGAATGTCCTATTTGAACCGGATGTTAGGATGGTGACGGCCTTAAAGGTGGGTGATTTATTCTGATCAGAGATGGTAGCATCCAGTGAAAATGCAGGAGATCACCAGCTGAATTGAATTAGAGCATGTCTGGAGGGCAAGGGGGCATAATTCCCTGAAGTAATCGAGTATCCTTCGAGCAGTGAGAAATGACCATCAGTGCGTCCTAAAATCAACTTATGAGGAGGTCAAAATCAAAGAACTGCAGACATCGACCCTGCTAGGAACAATTGAGTAAGAAGCCATATATATCCAGGTTTACTTTGGTATTTATTGAACGTTGTTGTGACCATAATTGTGTTCAAACCTGAAGAATAAATTTGCCTTAGTCAAGGTAGTATATGACTTTGTAAAAGTTAACATCGTTCGCGACTGTTATGGACTTTACTGTATGAATGGTTATGAATTCGTTTGACATATCAACAGGTGTACTAATCTGGTGCTTTAACGTTTTTTATAAGCTAACCAGCACTTGATCAAGATTGGCTTTATTACTTAACAGTTAACATTGATCGTATGTCTAGTTTACCGAATTAATGATCAGAACTCTAAAATTCCTGTGGAGAGTTTAACACTATATACGTTCTCTCTAAAATAAATTTTGTTCGATGCACTGCATTTAGTTTTTAATATGGAATGTGGAGTTTGGATTGCTGGAGTTCACAGTTCATCACGTAATTTCTCATTATTTTAGTTGACCTGTTATTATTTCCTATGTAGTTTTCATGTTTTTTTTGAAGACAAATTTTTGTTGTTCTTGTTTAAGCAATAAACTTTAACTTCGTTTAATCATTGTTAAGCACTGAGCCGCGGTGAAAACTTTTTGAGTTTGAAATTGTCATCGAGATCACTCGGATTTCATCTTTTTCAGATGTAGATAAATTGTCCTGAATCAGTTATTAATTTTATTAAAAACGCTCCTTGTCGTTGACAGCAATTTTACAAAAAAACAGGTCCGTTATGAAATTGAGAAAAAAACAAGCATTCAGTCGGTTTCAGGCGTTGTATTCCGTTTTTGTCTAATTTTATTTTTTATGTTTATTTGCGTTTCATGTGCATTAATTATAGGACGAATTCAAGCGTTGGGCCTCTTCTTCATCGACGCTCACCCGCCACTCCGGGGTGCTTGGTATGTCGTCGATCATCCTGTCTCTGCCGTACAGTGTCAGCAGCTACTTGCCCAGCGTCATAGAGGCTCTTTGTCAGCACGTACATGGGAAGCCGCCGATCAGCACTTCTGTCAAAAAGACCTTGTCTGAGTTTAAAAGAACTCATGTTGACAGTTGGCCCGAACACATGCGAGCGTTTAATGAAAGCCAGCTGTCCGCATTAACCGACGCCCTGGTGTCGCCAAGTTACTACGCTTAAGCAATGCTTTTAGGTCACATGTTTTTTTACGTCTGCTCTCAGGGTTGTTTCAACTCCCACGGTTTATCCACATGTTCGACTTCGTATTTTTATCTTGACTTGGTGATTATTTTCTATTATGTTTTAACATACATTAATACTGTTATAAACTTGTATAGAAATTTAGATTAAAGATGCTGGTGGAAGTCTCGTTTTTGAAATTGCATTAATTTTAGTATTTTTGTAATGCCGAGGATAACGGTCATACCGCAGTTGCTGATCGATGGACGATCGTTATCGACAATGATTTCCTTTGAGAACTGTAGTTTTTACCTCTTTTTTGCTTCTCACGTTCTCGGTTCAAAATGTGAAGTCAGTAGTATATATTCAATTTTTGGATTTTCAGAATATTTGCCATTAGACAGCGATTATTGCATCGCAGAGGGAAATATTCCTCTCTAAAAGCAGGTCTGCCTCCATCATGTTCTTTCATGTTGCGTGCTGCCTTTTTGGTCGATATCTGCCATTTTTTATATCCCACGCGAGAAGCGTATTGGCTGGGGTAAATAATATTGACTGAACCATTTTTTTAACGGAGCCAATCTCCTTTGCGTTATCTTCATATATACTGGAAGAATATATACTCACTTTTTATGTGGTTCTGCCATTTAACCCTCATTATACGGTAAGCAATTCAGCGTTCGTTCTTGTTTTTTCGTTAGTGGTCAGTTTCCTCCATGCCGCCCTACAAAATTGAACTGACAGATGGATGGCACAGGCGAATCTTAGCCCGAAGAGTAACTCCTTTCTCAGCCCAAATATTGGAGACGTTTCCAACAACATTCGAACATGGGGCGATCCTCCTGTTGAACTCTGACTGTATTGTGCCATCACTGGAGATGACGTGGCCGAAATAGTTAAAGTGGTCATTCTCATGAATGGCGTCACCTCTGTTTTGCTTTATATATTTTCATTTGTTTCAGCTGCGCCAGGTGGGTTCCTCATAACTTTTGACTCGCAGTAGTTACCGAACGGGCCAGCTTTCGCGGCTGTATTGCATAAGGAGTCCATCAAGTGACAGGGGCCGAGGCCGCTTCTTGTATTATTCACCTAGATAATGTCATCTGCACACGCCAGGTAAGCAAGATACCTAGCCGGATATCTTGTATGCACCTCTCCTGTAGTGGGGTTTTGTTTTTACCAGGGTTTGCGCTGTTTCTTAGAAAAAAGTCGATGTTGAACATATTAAGTAGCGAAGTCGAAAGCACCTCTCCTTGGCGAACGCCAGAGTTAATAGGCAATCATTCAGACACCTTTCCTTCTGCTGTATGGGAGCAGACATGTTTCCTATATGCATCTGTTGTAAGTATGTAACGAAGTGTTCAGGTATCCCATAACATTTCGTGACTTTCCATGTAGTCGGTCTCTAACGAATCGATTGCATCCTTAAAATCGAGGGAACTGGCTAACCGAAGCAAGTGAAATCATCGGCATTGTTCAGTGTTCTTGCGCCGAGTGGAAATTTGGTCGGGGAAGAAGTAACCTATCTGGAAGCCTGCTGAGTTTGAGAAAAGGTTCCCATCAATTACCTGCCTAAGCCCTTCCAGCTTCCAGGATAATGCAACGTACGTTCTCTGGAAGTTGACAACAGTGTGATATGAAGATAATTGCAGCACTTTGTCATCCGACCATCTTTAATTTTGGGAGCAGTTACTCTACACTTATGTTTTCCTGAAAAACATTTATAGGTTAACATTTGATGAAAGAGAGCATGAAGCCTTACTGCTATGCCCGTTCTTCTATGCTTAATTCACTTGGAGTAATTCGATCCACCTCGCGAACCTTTTTCACCTTGAACCTTGTAGCAAGGTTTTTTTTGGACTTCTAATTTTGTCTCTGTATTTGTACTTACCACTAATGTTAGCAGAGGATTAAGGGTCGGAAAAGGGGCCTGGGGTACAACCGTTCAGTTGCTTCTGGAATTGCACAGCCTATCTTTTGAGGCGTTCCTTCTGACCTGCCAATGGGACACCCTTAGTGTAGTAAATAAGGATAAACTGAGTCACCTACTTATCTGACTACTATCACACCCCTATGAACACTATTCGCCAATCAGGCTTTCGCACTGCCTTCTCGATGTTTTTGATTTCCCACTTCAGCGAAATTTCCTTATCTCGCCTATTGCTCTGTTTGACTGCACAGACAAGCTGGTGATGATCCCTCATCGAAGGTGCATTAAGTTGCTGCAAGTTCTTTGCCTGGTTCCCTTGCACTCCTAGGGCTAGGGTCTTCTTTGTAACCCAAAGCAATTCGGCTAATCTCCTCTTGCCCTCAGGTATGTTTTTCCTGAGGAAATGGCGGCTTTTTTGAAGTGTTGATAAACTTCGTCGACGTTGCCACTTAGATCAATTTGGCATTAACTGTTGCATTGAAATTACTCACTTTTTGGCAGGTAGATCTTGCCAATTCGAACGTCATATTTTAGCCTGTCAATATCAAGCAGCTGATGTGTCTCTACCAGACGAGGTCAATACGATACGGCTAATTTTAAATGAAGATTTATACTACCAATTTAGGCGAAGTTATAGGGTGTCCACGCCCAATGAGTAGTCACGTCTGTCGCAATTCCGAAGTAAGGAGCTACGCCATTTCCGGTTGAAGAACACGTAATCCTAATGGATGTTTGGACTTCCACCAGGGTACGTCCAGTAATATCTTATCCGGAATTATGCTTGACTCAGGCGATCCTGTGGTATTGTCAAGTTGGCCCTTGGCTTTATAAATTGAACCGAACGTTTTCTGGATGACTGATGAAATGACGAACTTCCGCAATTCAAGTATTCTCATCTCTCGTTTCCCTATGCAGATCATAAAATCACAACTGCGACGGTTTCCATATGTAATCAGAACTCCAGAAGTGATACTGATAAAAAGAATCTATTCATGAAGCCATATGGCATGCACCAAGAACCAGATGGTTCATACGTGTTAAATCTCTGGCATTTCAGTGCCTTTAAAGTCAATGTTGGAAACTGAATCCATCGCGAAATCGTCCGAATCTGTTGACGTTGTATCGCGAACGCATAACTGCCCCTGAAAATATATGAAATCGATAAATCGATGCTCAGAATAGTTAAACGTAAGATATGCTATGAATAATGGCTTCTCGCAATGGTAGTAGCATTGCGTAGTTCATCAGTCCGTCCGTGACCCACAGGCCTATGCATATCATGTTCCATATAAATTCATGTGATTTGCGAAAAAGATGTAACGTCAGAATTCGTCAATGAACGGCACGTGTTTTAAAAGTGCGCATTTCTGTATGCAACCAGATAAATGAACGTTACAATTTTATGAATCAAAGTCACGTTCTGCCAGCACTTGCAAGAATCACATTTTGCTACAGGACGATTAACAGTTACGGCAAATACACAATAAAACAATGTCAGTGCAACTAAAGGGCGGAACAACGACAGACTTAAACGTAAATGCGCAGAAAACTAAGTCACACAGCGGATACTGCTCGTGCGGTTTATTTATTTATAAATAAACGTATGCCACTTAAGCCTGCGCTAGTTCTTCTTGTGCACCGGTCGTGATCAGCTTCGCGAAAGCTTTGTAGTCTACTTTGCCACTGGCAATCGGTGGGCCGGCCTTGTACATGTTTTTCATCTGAAAATTTAGCGTGCAGCTACTATTAAAAAGAACGGTTTTCAATTAATAAGCCAACTTTACACTTACCTCGGTTTCGTCCAAGGATTCACCTCTGAAATTGGTAAGGATCTTCGTGAGTCTAAAAATCGAAACAAATCACTACTACCGTTGGGATGAACTTATTATAAAGATAGGCTTTGAAGTTTTCTGAACTTGAGCCGACGCAAAAGCTATGAAAAATTATTCAAGGGATCAGTATTTAAAGATCCATAGCGACGACAGAGTACTTTCGTCACATGTTGTCGTACTGAATTATACCTCCAAAGCCTGCGATATGTGAAACTAAATGTAACATAGTGCTTGGATGCACAAGTGAGGCCAACATCTCAACAGTTTCATCCATTAGTTTGCCAGGCAGCGTTGTGTCAATGAAAGAGCTGATGTCGAACGGTCACTTACTGCTCTTCCGTAATGTATCCTGTATTCTTTTTGTCGAACATCTGGAAAGCGCCAATAATTATGTCTTCAGGGTCAGTACCTAAACGGAAAATCATTAAATTCGTGGTTTCCTTAATATCATAAAAAATCGTCAATTGCATATCTAAAAAATGATTAATACAATTTAGTGATTGAAGGGTATTTTTTTATGCCAAACGTTCTCATGTAGGTACTGTAGGTGAATTAAAAATTTTGGCAGGTAAATAAGAAAATCGTTAGATTTGGATCACTGTACTGTAGATCATGAAGTGACAGTAAATTGAAAACTGGAAAAAGTTCTGAACCTGATTTTCCTTATTCTCGCAACTGCACAAAAAATAAAATCTGTTCCAAGTGTTCTTAGATTTGCAGTAGAAAATTAGCACTTGCTGATTGTAGAGTGAACCTGTAATAGCTGCAAGTTAAATTACTGCCATTTTCGGGATCTTCTGCTACACTGCAGAATTTCATTCCCTGTCGTTTCGGGGATACATTGATAAAACACTTCAGGCAGGAAACCGGACGTTAATTTTGGCTAAGACTGATGTGTCGCCGTTAAACAGGTCATTCTCGCATGCAAGTAAGCATTTTGTGCTCGGCCATTGATCAGCAAAGTCTTCACAAACCCCGTTAAGAAAAAATGGTTTTGCTGGTCGTTCAAATCAAAAATAAGTCATAGAATCAGTTTCGTACTCGATTCGTTTTAGCACATTTTTTTGACAACCAGTTTCAGACTGAGGAATAGAACTCGATTTCTGGAAATGCGTATCCTCTCAGTCCTTTCGCTGCACGACTGCACAACAAGTACGTTGCTTAAAGGAGATAGCATAGATCCGGTGATTTTTCCACGATGGCAAAAAAAGCTACTCGAGCTTAAGCTTTCGCTGCACTGACGCTATGGAAGTGATAAAATAAATAGAAAATGGAAAATACTCACTGCAGAAGAGCACATTATAAATTTATTCCAGTCAAATGCTTGAAGCAATTTCCGGAAACTATTCCAGTAAGGAAATCATCTAAGTACTTAAATGGTACAGGCAAGCAGGCAAGGCGCGGAAGAAAAGCACAAACAGTGCATACGAAACCCTGCTTACAGTAACAGATGCAATATTTTGACAATCCAACTATCGTCATGATTTCAGTCGCTGCGAAAGTAGATTTGTCTCGCCATAGCGAAATATGACTAATTGCATTCTGACTATTTCATTAAGTAGCCGCAGCAGCCTTTCCTTTCTCTGGAATGGCCACTGACCATTTAGCAGTACGATATCCAACAAACTGACAAATTCATGCTTTGTCGCTAACATATGCACAAGAGCTGTGTCTTACCATAACCACTCGTTTCATATTAAAGGGAAATTCAAAATTTTTCGCACATTATAGAAACAATGACTATTTTTACAATAGTATACTCCATCGTCTGCTTCATCCTATTCGTAACCTTCACGCAAATTTTCAACAAAGTATTATTGTCCCAAGGCCAATTCAAAGAAATACTTCTGTTTCTACCTTATTACCTGCGAATCACGGTATATTGTTCGTGCATTGGTGATCATTCTGAGAAGCAGAATAAAACACGATTTATTAATATTAATGCACCAAGAGAATACAATCTTCTGGTTCTTAACGGATAACCCAGAATAACCTGGAACAAATGTCTCGAAGAACTCTGCTCTAGACTCCGGTTATCTTCCGCTGAAACTCAAATGCTTGTGTGAGATCGGAAACGTTTGACACGTTGTCTGACGTACCTTCCTCTACGACCCAGAAGGGTAAGCGGTCATCGAAACTGGCTAACATCGGTGTATTAGTTATTCTGTTGTTATGAATGTTATTCTGTCCTTTTGGATATGGACTGAAAGTAATTCACTGATTCGCAGTTAGTCCAAACCAGTGATATGTCGGTTTTTCTACATTACTGTCTCGACATAAATTCAAAAAAAAGCGACACTGCACCTGTGGCGGACAATGCAGTAGCATAGGTCTATGGCGAGACTTAGTGACCATGCGATACAGCCGACTGAATATGAACCGAAAGGGGTAATTAATTTCAGCCTATGTTTGCTGACTAGTCTATACCGGTATGGACGACGTCGTATACGTAATGAAGTCATATCTGCAGCAACGTTTTTTGGTTTATGAACTGCTTCCAGTTAGAAAGTCTACTTGAAGGCTAACGATAGGGTTGATGGAAGATTGTCAGCAATCGCATCATCCGGTGAGGAAAGGATGATGTTCAGCTCAGTGTCCCCCGATGCGATGCATGGCTGTCGCTGAGCAAAACAAATTTGGCCGTTTGGATTCGGCGGATTTGAAACATTTCTTAGTCGACTAAGTGAGTAAAAAAACCTTCCAAGTGGCCAAGGCCACGTCGATGCCAAAAACCGGACTGGCAGGCAACTCTGGCTTGAAGGAAAATGCGAAGACGAAGATTGCACACATGTTCGATCGAATCTCCCGATCGCTCTGCCTTCCAGTGCATGGCGCCGAAAAAAGATCAGCGAAACGAAAGTTATGCGCAACTTCAAAATAAACACCGGCGACTTAGACTGGGCCACAACCGGTGGAAGATGAGATGAGTCACGGCTAGGCCTCGCACTCTTCGACCTGTGACGTTTCGCAACAAACGCCTACAGCAAATTGAACCCGGCTGTACTGCCGATGCATTTTAAAGACGCTACTGTCAAGTGAAAGTGATATACTAACAGGCTATGCCAGGACTGACATTGTCCATAAGTTCCATAAGAAAAGCAACCGCTCATCATCT